AAAATATGAACAGGTTTCATCGAAGCAAAAGGCTGAGGAAGAACAGGTAACTGCAGAAATAGCAATTCTCAGATCGAGGAGCAGTGCTGCTGAAGCAAGGCTGGCTGCTGCTCGGGAGCAAACTCAGTCTGCTCAAGAGGAGGCAGAGGAGTGGAAACGGAAGTTTGACATTGCTGTTCGAGAAGCGAAAAATGCTCTTGAGAAGGCAGCAACTGTTCAAGAACGCACAAACAAGCAAACGCAACTGAGAGAAGATGCTTTGAGAGCAGAATTTTCTGGTACATTGGCTGATAAGGTGCTCTCTCTCTCTCTCTCTCTCTCTCTCTCTCTTAGTTGTTTGACATACTGCAGATCATCTTAGTAGTACTTGTACTTGAATAGTTTGATGATTCGTTTCCTTTATAATGAAAATACAGGAAGAGGAAATGAAGGCTAAGGTGGCAAAAATTGAACAAGCTGAGCAGCGGCTGACTACTTTGAATTCGGAGTTGAAGGTGAGCTTTGAGTGGATTTCACCTTGTGACTTTTTAATGGATGGACTTTGCAAACACACACACACATTTAGACAGAGGGGCTATCATAAAGTTTCTACTAATTTTTATATGCTGCACTTTATACACATCACCGACTTGTACTCGATTGTTTGGGCATACTTTGCATTTGAAGATGAGTTTAAATTCATAAAATGTGGTTAAAATGATGAAATTAATGGATTAGCAAAAAAGTGGTTGGTAGTTGGACCGCATGTGAGAGTTGGGTGTAGTAGTTATCTTTCAAAGAACTTCTATTATGCCCATGAGTTGATGTCGGTGCTTATAATACAATTTTGAGGTGGAGTGCATGTATTTTAGTATGTACCTTCTGGGTAATGTATTATTTATTGGTCTTTCACTGTCTGTAGGCTGCTGAGTCTAAGATAAAGAACTATTATCTGGAGATATCAAGCTTAAAGCTTGAGATTAAGGAGTTGGGTGGGAGGTTAGAAAGTGTAAGCACTACTGCACGATCATTTGAAAGAGAAGCTAGGACTCTAGAACAGGAAAAAGATCTTCTGGAGCAGAAGTACCAATCTGAGTTTAACAGATTTGGAGAAGTCCATGAAAGGTGTAAAATTGCCGAAAAAGAAGCTAAAAGAGCAACTGAATTGGCTGACAAAGCACGAGCAGAAGCAGTCACTGCCCAGAGAGACAAGAGTGAGTTTGAGCGAATAGCGATGGAAAGATTGGCCCAAATTGAGAGAGCTGAGAGGCTTGTTGAAAATCTGGAGAGGCAAAAAACTGATTTGGCGGATGAAGTAGAAAGGTACCGTGCATCCCAGATGGATGCCCTATCCAAAGTTGCAATGCTGGAGGCAAGGGTTGAAGAAAGGGAAAAAGAAATTGAGTCACTATTGGAATCGAATAATGAACAGAGGGCTGATACAGTTCAAGTCCTTGAGAGTCTCTTGGAGACCGAGCGTACAGCACGTGCAGAGGCAAACAACAGAGCAGAAGCACTCTCTGTTCAGCTACAAGCCACACAAGGAAAACTTGATTTACTCCAGCAACAGATGACTGCAGTTCGCCTCAACGAAACAGCATTGGACAGTAAGCTCAAAACTGTTTCGCATGGGAAACGTGCAAGGGCAGATGAATATGAAATAGGTGTGGAATCTGTTCATGATATGGACACTAATGACCGAATAACCAGAGGAAATAAGAAGTCCAAAAGTACAACTAGCCCTTTGAAGTTCACAACACCAGAAGATGGTGGCTCAGTGTTTAAGGGTGATAAAGACAACCACAGCCAACAAACCAATTCAGAAGATTATTCAAGGTTCACAGTGCAGAAACTTAAGCAAGAGCTCACAAAACATAATTTTGGCTCTGAGCTGCTCCAGTTGAAGAATCCCAATAAGAAAGACATCCTTGCTCTCTACGAGAAATGTGTTCTCCAGAAATCATGACTTTTTATGTGAATTAGTTCAAGAAGGATGCCTTTAATCAGCTGAGAATAGAGTGATAGACAGCTTTGGTCACCTATGTGTGAGTAATAGAAGCCACAAAGTCGATCCTCAAAAGTCTTCATCAATGTTGGTACAGAGCCTGAGATTTCTTCTGTAGCGGCAGAGGTTTTTATTCATATTGGATGCCATCGGCTTCATTATTCAGTTAGCTATTGTTATTTCATTTTTCTCTTCTTTGGTTTGCTTTTATGGTCATTTGAGGCTGTCTCTTCCACTTTTGTTGTGTTAGATTTAGAAAATATTTATCGGATGGTGTAAGTAATGATATTGAAAGTAATCTAACTCTAACAGCTCATGTACCTTTGCCTGCTTACCTTGTGTTTGTCTAGGGTGTAATTGCAGATACTTCCAGTTTCGGAGATATGTTAGATGAAGTTATGTTATGTCTGTGTTTGGCATTCCTATTTTGATATTATTTATAAATGATCTGCTATTATGTTTACTGTCTTTTTTGGGAAAATTGCTAATCAGATAACAACACTGTAGATGATGGACAAGACTCTGGCAGTGGTTGAACCTAGGGTTCGTGCATATGCTAGCTAAGATGCAGAGAAATCTTGCTGTTGTTTGTAGTTCATGATTGTTTTATGAGTTGATGAAAGGATGGTTTGTTGTAGATGTCTTGTATTTTCCTATAACTAAGTGATTCTTTTTTCAGCAACTTGAATACCGGTGGATCTGTTCTTCACCAGTCAGATCAGCGTTGTAATGCTCAATGTCTCCTGTATTCAAGGACCCAAGAACTAAGTGCAATTGTAAGTGTTTCTCTCATTGATTTTGTTTTCGCTTTAATGACCATGAGGTGTTGATTACACTAGCACAATGTATGTGCCCTGTTCATCTATGCACATATTCTCTTTATTTCCCGGGCCTCTAGTGAGTTACAGACAGAGATAGCTACAAATCTCCTACACTGGGTGTAATGGTTATATCACGTTTGCATTGTCATGTGGTGTAATTGTTTAATTATAACTCACAAAATATATAAAGTGGACGTCACTCATTCAAATAACTACCCCTTCATGTAGGATAGTAACTATTCTATGTAAAAAAAAGTGGGGTTACTTTGTCCATTTATTCTTTAAACATAAGGCGGTTACACCATGGGTATAACTGTTACACCCAATATTTACTTCTAACATTAATGCAACTAAAACTCCAAAGTGAAAGTTTGCAAGAATCATCTTTGTACATCTCTTAACATAAATACAAATCACTCTTCCACAGAAACAGGTAATTAAATACAATGCAGTACCTCTTTAGTATGAGCTCTCTTCAAGAAATCCTTGAAGAACATTTTTATGTTCACTTTCTTTAACCCAAAACTACAAAGAAGATGGCTTTACAGTTAGAAGAAACCAATCTTTTTATTCCCCTTCCTCATTATGATCTCAATATTAAGTTATTTGAGTATGAAACTATAGCAACCAATACTGTCAAGTATGTTAAAAATATGCATATATCCCTCTGTGTGTTCATCGAAAAAAAATTACCACCAAACATGTCCATGTTCTATTTCCTCAATTTCCTTTGCTTGCACTTGTAGGTAGATGAATAAAGGAGGACCCATCACCATGGACAACCAAATTGGTGGAATCTGAAAACCCGAGAAACGGAGGATTATAGAACTCAACAAAGTTAGTGTTCTTGATCATATGACTAGCATCCCTGGTTATTGTTTTTGATTTTTTGTCAGCTGAATCTTTAACATTTGAACCACATTGTCTAGGCTGTGTTTGAAAAAACACTTTTGAAAGCACTAATTCTCCATCTTTTTCATCCTCATTATCTCCAAGATGATACTGGTGCATGACCCAACTAGTCTTTTCTGGCTTCTTTTGCCTACCATAGTTTGTGTAGAGCACTAGTATCTTTTTATACCCTTTCACAACCCCACCTATTATAACTGGCCTAGTCTTGCCTGTTTTGTGCCATCTTGTCTCACCACCATCGGCACCTGCATGCACCTTTCTTCGTTTTCGAGTCCCCGTTGTATACGCCTTTGAAGGTCGATGAAAGAAGTGGCGGATTTGGCCATCCTTCCTCACTCCTGCATGCTCAAACATGACAGCCAAAGAGAAATTATATATTTTTTGATAAGAATAACATTAACTAGGTCATTAGAAGAAAATGGTATATGAAATGAAAAGGTCAAGAACTAGAAGATTATCATGTCCTGGAATAGTTTTAGTACTTTGCTGTTGTAACCATCAAGTAACATGAGTGGAGAAAGGTGCTTCAAGTCGAGATAAATCCAAAATAAAAATCATATCATATGTGAGCGTTTTGAGTAACTCGGTAGTAATTCCGAGTATTTGAATCATCCATGATTTGCTAAATCATATATATATGTATGGACTCGAGTTCTTGATGCGAAACTCAATAATGAAAGCATATATGATCAAGAGCAAAATTGAATAGACAGCGTACATGGATTTATATCACCTAAAACATTGGAATAAGAAGGAAAATTTTTCTCTTCCCCATTGGATATCCATGAGGGGAAGTACAATGCAACATTAGTTTGTGTAGAACATCTAATCCAATCTTTCATTGCTCTTCATAAAACTGTACAAGATACTTATGCAGCATGTCAATTAGAGGCACAAGAGGTAACACTGACAATGCCACTCTGAGAACTTTATGATATAGGTTAAGGGACAACATGGCATCTACCTTGTTAGAGCACAAATGAACATCTTATACCAATTGCTTAAAGGAGTGGAACGTAGTTGTGGTTTAGGCCACATGAGTTTTTGAAATCTCACTCTGTTCACTATTGTTTAAACTGTAAGGTGGTATTTTATAAAACTGAAAATTAAGTACAGAAAATTAAATGTTTAATTTTAAGTACTGAATGCAGAATTTTTAATTCATAAACTATTTAGTATCTATTGAAATTTAAATACTGAATTAAATTAAACTGTTTGACGAATATAAGGAGTTGAAGTATGAAAATTATTACTATCTCAATAGCATTTTTGATCCAGAAAGTATGTGCGTTTTGCGAATTTGGTCCTCATTCTATCAATTTTGTTAATTTGTTGCTTACCTTATTCAATTCATGCCTATATGGTCACCACACACGCGACTCATTAAGTTTTTGACAGAAATAATTAGGTGTTGGTCATGTAATACCGTCTGAAAGAATGACACGTGGTTATTTTTGTCAAAAAAACTTAATGGATACTCTAGCAAGGAATTTAGGGACAATTTAAATAAGAACTAAATACTTTACATACTAAATTGACAAACACGCCACCTTAAGGAATAAAGGTACCATTAACCCTTATTTGATATATACCCGCAAAGGGATTTTCGATTTCACATTATGAGTAATGAATACGTCCCACGCAATTACCACCCACTAATCCTAATTACTTTGTGCTCTAAATCAAAGGGAATGGAAAAGAAAAGTTAATTGGTTATGAATTTCAATACAACAATGACATTGAGCAAGGAAAGTATAGCCTTTATGGAAACCAAAATTACCATTATGATAGAAACGATAATTAGAGAGTGATTAGATTTTCTCCAATACACTATCTCTTTAATTCTTTTCTTAGTATATTATCTATCATGCATTCATGTGAGACCCAGTATATACAAGTGAGTCCTTCATTTATTAATGATGAATAACGTGTCAAAAAGGGAATTGAAGAAAAAGTGTATTGGAGATGATCGGAATAGAGTAAATAAGATTTAGCAAGTTCAAAGCAAGGGTCCTTGACATTCACCTGGTAGCTTCTCTGGATGAGTGTAGCAAATTCCATTCTCTCCCTCAAGAGTGGGAATGAATTCATCAATTAGTGGATGAAGCCTATGGGTTTCAGACAACACCTTTGCATTTAAATGTTGAAGAATTTCTTGGTCAGATGGATCAAACTTCACTCCAGCAGGCAGTCCCGGCAAATCATGAATTCCAGTCTATTTCATGTTCATCATAAAAAAGTGTAAATTCGATGCGAATACACAAATCCGTACTAAAAGAAGAGCTAGATAGGTGTGTTAAATGATCCATGTTGCTTGAACTTCACCTAGTTTTGACTTAGTTAGGCTCGTTCTTCAAGTTGAAAAATGAACGAAGTTTGACTATATTTTTAAAATTCATTTAATAAATGAGTCGAATTTACAAAAAAGTGTACTCGAATCGTATAGACATAGTTTGGCTCAAATAGGTTATTGTCGGTATATAATTCTAATTTTCTTTTCAACCAATCACTATTAGAAAGATGAACAATGCAAACCTTATCTCCAAAGAAATTCAAACTGCACGCTTCTTTCTTCCTCTCCTCTCTAATAAGCTTTTGAAAATTTTGAACTTCGCATAAGGTGTGATTTTATGTGTTATTAAGTAGACTTCAAAGGATTTTCTATTGATTAACCAATCTTATTAAGCTTAGATTATTAAATTTTAGGGTTGTTTTTATAATTCTTGAAGAGAAATTCAGTCAGGTTTCAACTCTTATGTTTCTACTAAATCTAATTTGAGCAAGAATCTAAACTTTGCAGTTGAGCTTAAGTAATCAAATCGAATTGAATCTGAGTATACTCAAAGTTGACAAATCATTCTTCACTATTAATACCACCAACCTATCTACAATTAATCAGCAGAAAATGATATGGTACCTGATCTTGGAGTTCCAAGCTATTGCCACATGAGGGGCATGTTACAGTGGTCCTACCTTCAACCCCGTCTGGGAAAACACCACTGTTTTCTGTAGAAGATGGGATTACTTGGACGGCTCTTTCGTCGTTGGAATCATTACACCATTTCATCTCTCTTGTTTTGCTTTTATGCTCATCCCAAGTTTGATTTTCTCTTTCTCCTGTTTCTTCCACCTTTCAACAGAAGATAGACATAGCAACAAGGATATGTGAGATCAGAGACAGGAAAAGAGGGAGGAAATGGAAAGGAAACAGTCAAGTTCTCTCTTTTA